ACTACAAATAGGAAAAAGAGGCTACAATTTGCAAGAGCTCACCAAAATTGAACAGTTGAAGACTGAAAAAATGTTGCCTGGTCTGATGAGTCTCGATTTCTGTTGAGACATTCAGATGGTAGAGTCAGAATTTGGCGTTAACAGAATGAGAACATGGAACCATCATGCCTTGTTACCACTGTGCAGGCTGGTGGTGGTGGTGTAATGGTGTGGGGGATGTTTTCCTGGCACACTTTAGGCCCCTTAGTGCCAATTGGGCATGGTTTAAATGCCACGGCCTACCTGAGCATTGTTTCTGACCATGTCCATCCCTTTATGGCCACCATGTACCCATCCTCTGATGGCTACTTCCACCATGTCACAAAGCTCTAATCATTTCAAATTGGTTTCTTGAACATGACAATGAGTTCACTGTACTAAAATGGCCTCCACAGTCACCAGATCTCAACCCAATAGAGCATCTTTGGGATGTGGTGGAACGGGAGATTCGCATCATGGATGTGCAGCCGACAAATCTGCGGCAACTGTGTGATGCCATCATGTCAATATGGACCAAACTCCCTGAGGAATGCTTCCAGCACCTTGTTGAATCTATGCCACGAAGAATTGAGGCAGTTCTGAAGGCAAAAGGGGGTCCAACCCGTTACTAGCATGGGGTACCTAATAAAGTGGCCGGTGAGTGTATATTCCAGATATTGATTAGACAGTGAAATTGTTCTAATCAATTAAAGCGATTCTACATCGAAGTGTAGAAAAACTCGACGGCAATCAGAAACATCATGTAAACCTATTTGTTTATGTATTTTTCTCTCTCTTGAACAGAGTGTTGGGAAGCAGCTCGCTGTGAATAGATCCTTTCCATTCGCTTCCTATTGATGAAGGCCTGTGTTCATCTCGACCGACTCTGCATTCAGCGTGCTCTGAGTGCTCAGCCACATTCTCCATCGATCCACTGGGCTGATCACACACTCATTCTCTCCACCTCAACTATTCTTATTAGACTATAAATAACAAAGATAGACTACAGCAAAGCCGCACCTCTGTGTCTATATTCTGATGGGTTCCCTGAGAAACATTCATATTGCTAATGGATTTATTGGCTTCCATGTTCAATAGTGCAATTTTTGTGTAAAGCGTGTTAAGCTATAACAACAAACATTCGTTGACGTAATGTCTGTTTCCCAGGAGAGACTGATTCATTGTTTTGCTCTGAGGGTCTGGCTGGACTAGATTGAAGGAGAACAGATTTATCAGGTACTTGACACAAACTCAGTAAACAATCGCTTTTTAATGTCTCCCAATAAGAATCTATTTGATTTTTCAGAGCTCAGAAGATTCAGAGGACGGTTTCATCAGAGCATGTTGCTTTAACTGCTGGACAAATGTTATTATTGGTTTGCTTCTCTGATGGTAAGCCACTAATCAAATAAGAACCCTGGTGTGTGTAACATGTACTATGTAATTCTTGGAAATACTTTAGAGAACCATGTAAATAGCTCATAAATATAGAACACATTCAGTACAACGGTTTCTATCAAAGTACCATGGTATTACAATCTGAAGCCATCACTGCGATACTGGTTACAGTTTTAGTGGTGTAATCTGTAATAAGAAATGTAATTTCAGAAATAATCAACTCAACACTGTGTAAAACACTGTGTGTTTTTTTTTTTTTAAACACTATATTTACTGTTCTAAACTGTACTGTACTATAGTAACTACTGTAACCATCCATCAATCCATTTTCCAAAACGTTTGTCTTATACAGGGTCGTGGATGATGAAATCATATTTGGTATGAAAACTCCTTTGCCACACTCATCAAGATCAGGAAATACAATATATTATTATTAGCTAATATTATTACTATAGTTGGATTTATGATAAATGCATTAAATCATTTCTTAAATGGATTCTTTGGCAAAGATTAGTTAGTATAATTGGATCTCTCTCCTATTATACTATATTAATTCTATTCTATTCTATTCTATTCTATTCTATTCTATTCTATTCTATTCTATTCAATTCTATATTCTCCATACATTTTCCAAACCGCCTGTCCTATGCAGGTTTGAAGGGATGCTCCAAGCCTATTATACAATATGAATTATATTCTATTCTATTTTATTCTATTCTATTCTGAGTGCTTCAGCCTGATTCCAGCCACATTCTCCATCGATATACTGGGCTGATCACACACTCATATGGGGGTCCTGCTCATTTTTATATTCTATTCTATTGTATTCTATTCTATTATTCATCAATAGATTCTGGAGCCTATAATACAATATTAATTCAATTCTACTGCCTGTCCTAGGTTTGCAGGGATGCTAAAGCTTATGCTGGAGCCAATCCTTTTTCTATTCTATTCTATTCTATTCCATTCATTCCATCATCTATAAATTTTCCATATCGCCTGTAGGTTTGCAGGGATGCTGGTGCTTATTATAGAATATTAATTATATTCTATTCTATGCTATGCTATTCTATTCTATTCTCCATCAATTTCCCAAACCCCCTGTCCTGTGTAGGTTTTCAGGGATGCTGGAGCCTATTATACCATATAAATTCTGTTCTATTCTATTTTATTCTATTCCACATCCATTTCCCAAAACACTTGTCCTATGTAAGGTTGCAGAGATGCTGGAGCCTATTATTCTATTCTATTCTATTCTCCACTTTCCAAACTGCTTGTCCTATGTAAGGTTGCAAAGATGTTGGAGCCTATTATTCTATTCTATTCCACATCCATTTTCCAAACTTCTTGGAGCCTATTATTCTATTCTATTCTATTCCACATCCATTTTCCAAACCACTTGTCCTATGTAAGGTTGCAGAGATGCTGGATCATATTATTCTATTCTATTCTATTCTATTCCACATCCATTTTCCAAACCACTTGTCCTATGTAAGGTTGCAGAGATGCTGGAGACTATTATTCTCTTCTCTTTATTCTATTCTATTCTATTTTCCATCAATTTTCCAAACCACCTGTCCTATGTAGGTTTGCTGGGATGCTGGAGCATATTACCAAATTATTCTAATCTATTTTATTCTATTCTATTTCCTAAACCGCCTGTCCTATGTAGGGTTTCAGGTATGTCGGCGCCTATTATTCAATATTAATTCTATTCTATTCTGTTCTGTTCTATTCTATTCTCCATCCATTTTCCAAAAACACTTGTTCTATGTAAGGTTGCAGAGATGCTGGAGCCTATTATTCTATTCTATTCTATTCTATTCTATTCTATTCTGAGTGCTTCACCCTGATTCTAGCCACATTCTCCATCGATATATTGGGCTGATCACACACTCATATAGGGGTCCTGCTCATTTTTATATTCTATTGGATTCTATTCTATTCTATTCTATTCCATCAATAGATTCTGGAGCCTATAATGCAATATTAATTCAATTCTACTGCCTGTCCTAGGTTTGCAGGGATTCTAAAGCTTATGCTGGAGCCTATACAATATTAATTCTATTCTATTCTATTCCATCATCTATGAATTTTCCAAACCGCCTGTAGGTTTGCAGGGATGCTGGAGCCTATTATACAATATTAATTCTATTCTATTCTATTCCACATCCATTTCCCAAAAACACTTGTCGTAAGGTTGCAGAAATGCTGGAGCCTATTATTCTATTCTATTCTATTCTCCACTTTCCAAACTGCTTGTCCTATGTACGGTTGCAGAGATGTTGGAGCCTATTATTCTATTCTATTCCACATCCATTTTCCAAACCACTTGTCCTATGTAAGGTTGCAGAGATGCTGGAGCCTATTATTCTATTCTATTCTATTCTCCACTTTCCAAACTGCTTGTCCTATGTACGGTTGCAGAGATGTTGGAGCCTATTATTCTATTCTATTCCACATCCATTTTCCAAACCACTTGTCCTATGTAAGGTTGCAGAGATGCTGGAGCCTATTATTCTATTCTATTCTATTCTCCACTTTTTTAAACTTCTTGTCCTATGTAAGGTTGCAGAGATGTTGGAGCCTATTATTCTATTCTATTCCACATCCATTTTCCAAACCACTTGTCCTATGTAAGGTTGCAGAGATGCTGGAGACTATTATTCTCTTCTCTTTATTCTATTTTATTCTATTTTCCATCAATTTTCCAAACCACCTGTCCTATGTAGGTTTGCTGGGATGCTGGAGCATATTAGCAAATTATTCTAATCTATTCTATTCTATTTGATTCTATTCTATTTCCTAAACCGCCTGTCCTATGTAGGTTTTCAGGTATGCCGGCGCCTATTATTCAATATTAATTCTATTCTATTCTGTTCTGTTCTATTCTATTCTCCATTTTCCAAAACACTTGTTCTATGTAAGGTTGCAGAGATGCTGGAGCCTATTATTCTATAAATATTATATTTTATTCCAGAAATGATTTAATATAGAATATAGCCTAATACATTTACTTCATCTAGGAGGTGAGTGTTATTTTTATTTATTTATTATTCATTTCCAAAGTTGTTACTACATATTACAATTAAGAAGTTTTCATTAAAAAAACGATGAGATAATATTTCACATAAACTAAAACAATTTTGAACAGGTGGATTTTAGCCAATCACAGTCCAGGATCAGAACTTTCCGTTTTATAAATCAAGTTTTGATACTGGCTCAGTGTTTTCAGCTCTTGATCCAATATTCGTCAAGAAATATGATGAAATTACAGTAGGCTTAGTAGTATTTGTTTCAATCTATTTATTTTAAGTCACAAAAACATCAAACCTGTACTTTATGTAGGCTACCTGCCTCTATATCTTTACTCTGTTTTATACTCATTTAATGCAAGCATTAAAACATCATCATAATCACGAAGAGAAGCGAGAGCATCATCTTATTCTCCAAACCATGTGTGTTTCTCATTGGTTAGTGTGACTGAAGGTGTGGTTTGAAGATCGCAATCCCAAATCAAAGGCATCTGAGTTTACAAAAGAGGGATTTGATTATAGGAAATGGACAAGGTGATGACCAAAACTCCTAATAAAGCCTAGAAAGCAAATACCAAATGTGAGCTGAGAGCTACTCACTATATCAACAGCAACATGTGGATGAGACGCGCTCAAGTTTCCTGATCACAGCGACTGACTGAACAAAGCGGCGCGAGCGCGAGTCCAAACATGACGCTGAGTGGATTATTACCCTTGCTATTAGTATTATGAGTGGCCATGGCGTGGTGTGACCGTGGGAATCAGATGCTGCTGGCCACCGTCGGGGCTTTTGTGGCGTTTAGTTTGATGAGCATCGCTATCGGGACCGACTACTGGCTTTATTCTCGGGCTTATATCTGTAACGCCACCAACATCAGCACGGACGACACGCAGACGCAACCCAAGAAGGTCCGCGGAGATCTCACACACTCCGGGCTCTGGAGGATCTGCTGTATAGAGGGTACCATGTGCTTCACATCCTTTCTTACACTTGAGTTTTAAAAGAGGGAAAACTAAGTTCATTGTTCTGCCTTTGTCTTCAGACAACTATTGGCTTTTGTTCTTTTTCTACACACAAGTCAACTCAAAACAAAACAATTGGTTTCTTACCATCAGATGCTTAGTTATCGATGACAAGTTCACCCAAAAATAAAAATTCTGCCATTAATTACTCACCCTCATGTCGTTCCAAACCTGTAAGACTTTTGTTCATCTTGGGAACACAAATGAAGATCTTTTTAAAGATTTTTTAATCTGAGAGATTTCTGTTCGCTCCATTGACAGTCTACGCAACGACCACTTTCAAGCCCCAGAAAGCAAGTAAAGTCATCATTAAAGTAATCCATGTGACTCCAGTGGTTTAACCTCAACTTTATGAAGCGATTCGAGTTCTTTGTTTGCGCAAAGAAAACATAATTTACCACAAAATATTAATTTCCAACGCGCGTTCACGAGAGCAGCACGGCGCATGTGTGTTGTGTTGACGCGAGAGCGGACATTGTTGCGAACGTGCATCTGAGATTCATATTTTGTAAATAAAGTGGTAAATTGTGGGGGGGTTTTTTTGCGCAAACAAAGCACTCGAGACACTTGGTTAAACCACTGGAGTCACATGGATTACTTTAATAATGTATTTACAAGCTTTCTGGGGCTTGAAAGTGGTAGTTGCGTAGACTGTTAATGGAGCGACAGAAATCTCTCAGATTATAAATCCTTAAATAGATCTTCATTTGTGTTCCCAAGATGAACAAAAGTCTTACAGGTTTGGAACGACATGAGGGTGAGTAAATGATGACAAAAATTTTATTTTTTGGGTGAACTAACCCTTTAAGTGTGTGTGCGAAAGGGGTCTAACCTACTCAGAGACACTCAAGTTAACCAACATCCATTGTTTCCCTTCATAAACAGGCCTTCAGAAAAGAAACACATTTCGAATGAAAAGTTTCTCAACTGTGCTCAGATTTGTCAAGATACCAAAATCTGAGCTTAAATATTTCTCATCAAATAAATCCAAGATCAATTTTTTTGTAGATACCAGTATGATGATTTTTGTCTATTTAAAAGCCCCCCATTTTAGGAGGAGCATCTGAGACAAAGATGATATCTAAATGAAAGAGCTCAGCCTTCCATCCGCAGGATCTGTCAACCGCTCATCCAAACTCTTTCATCGGGGTTGGATCTCGCTCAAGTCAACATAAGTTGACGTTCACTTGGAAGGGAGTGAAAATTCCCCCTCCATTTCTCTCTGTTGACACCAGTGGGTTTCTTGAATGGACAGAAAGGCGTAATCAGTCCACAGATTCTCTTTCTTTCATTTGATGCTGTTGCTTGGAAACAATATGTCTGAAATCACTATGGTAACGTGGGCAATTGTTTAAAAATAGATGAATCTGTTGCTTCTTATAATTGTCCATAGAAAAGAAAAAGACAGACAGATGTTTAATAACACACGTATAATTTCGTGTTAGGTTTTTCCCACAACATGTGCAGTTTTGGCCGAGCTTTGACTCAGACAGTCGGACTGATGACGTCATGCATGCGGTCATAGGCTACACAAGGACATCATAGGTGATGAGCAGTGCCAACTTAATACTTTATCTTTTTATAAATCTCGAAGGATAATGTCGGTCTGGATTCATATTCAATGCAATTCAGATGTAAATAAAACAATTAAATACAAATAAAGTAAAATAAATTACTTTTTAATTAACCAAAATTTAAAATAAAATAAAAAAGTTTAATAAAAGAAATAAACACCTGAACTGTGTCATAAAAAATAATAAAATAAAATACAACATTATCTTGACGTTAATTAAAGTTTAATAAAATAAAATAAATACCTGAACTTTGCCATAAATACAATAAAATAAAATATTGAGGTTTATTAAAGTTTATTGAAATAAAATAAACACCTGAATTGTGCCATAAAAAATAATACATTAAAATAAAACATTATCTTGGGATTTATCCAAGTTTAATGAAATAAAATAAACACCTGAACTGTGACAAAAAAATATCTTGAGGTTTATTAAAGTTTAATGAAATAAAATAAACACCTGAACTGTGCCATAAAAAATAATAAAATAAAATAAAACATTATCTTGAGGTTAATTAAAGTTTAATAAAATAAAATAAACACTTGAACTGTGCCATAACAAATAAAATCAAATAAAACATTATCTTGAGGTTTACTAAAGTTTAAAGGGGTCATATAATGCCATTTGTGTACAAGCTAATATGATTCTTTAGGGTCTAAATTAAAAGTTTGTAATATACTTTAATTAAAAATTCTCATTAGTATTGTAAGAAAACACTTATTTTACCTAATGATGATTTTACCTTATCATTACCACTTATTTTACCACAGCTCATTAATGATAATGAGCTGTGCTCACCCCGCCTCTCTGTTCTGTGCGTACACGTTTGTAACACAATAACACAATAACCATAACGCGTTGTTCAGTATAAATGTGGGATTATGAATTATATTGAGAACGTCGGACATAGAAAACATGCCGTAATGTACCCTGAGTGTAAACCTTAGACGCATTCATTGTGAAGTGTGCAGCTAGCGATTTGCAAAGATTAATATAAATATTAATATAAAGGTTAAAGGGGTCATATAATGATACATGCACTTTTACAAGTTGATTGTACTGAAATGTGTGTTGGCAGTGCCTGTAAACAAACATCATAAAATTATAAAAATCCATCAAGTGTTTTTGTTTTAATCTCCTTATATGTTTTACCCTGTGACGTCACAAGCTCGCACGCCCCTCCCACGATTGTTGAATGACAGCCGCGTTTCAACACAGACCCGCCCTCGCTCATGAGGGAGCTGTCAATCATAGTCCGCGGACCGGCGCGGTCATTGTTGATATGCTGGAGCACTGTCTATGAGCAGAATGGCGTCTAAGCGATTGTGGTGTTCTGTTCTTGGGTGTAATAACGAACACAGCAGTCATTTTAATGTTCCTAAATCCGAACCGCTGAAGACGCAGTGGCTGAGTTTATTTTCGAAGGGAATATTCCCCACGAGCAACGTCAATGCTTTCATATTTGCGCGAATCATTTCACACCAGACTGCTTTATAAACGAGGACGGTCAGTATGAGCTGGTTTTGCTAAGAAGCTGCTCCTGGACCGGTACCAGCTATTCGTGTTCCTGCTGAACCTCCAAAATAACTGAAGTGAGTCTAACGTTTTATTAACCTTTATTTATATTAATCTTTGCAAATCGCTAGATGCACGCTTCACAATGAATGCGTCTTAGGTTTACACTCAGGGTACATTACGGCATGTTTTCTATGTATGACGTTCTCAATATAATTCATAATCCCACGTTTATACTGAACAACGCGTTATGGTTATTGTGTTACAAACGGTGTATGCACAAAACAGAGAGGCGGGGTGAGCAAAGCTCATTATCATTTAAAGTCATTTGCACTGAAACGGCGTGCTGAAAACAGAGCTGTTTTTGACCAGGTAAAATAAGTGTTTTCTTACAATACTAATGAGAATTTTTAATTAAAGTATATTACAAACTTTTAATTTAGACTCTAAAGAATCATACTAGCTTGTACAAAAATGGCATTATATGACCCCTTTAATAAAACGTTACACTCACTTCAGTTGTTCTAGAGGTTCAGCAGGAACATGAATAGCTGGTACCGATCCTTTATTCAGGAGCAGCTTCTTAGCAAATCCAGCTTTATACTGATCCTCGTTTATAAAGCAGTCTGGTGAGAAATGATTCGCGCAAACATGAGAGCATTGACGTTGCTTGTGGGGAATATTCCCTTCGAAAACAAACTCAGCCACTGCGTCTTCCATTTAGGAACATTAAAATTAGAGCCCGACCGATATATCGGCCGGCCGATATTAGGCATTTTCCTAACTATCGGTATCGGCATTTATAATGGCCGATAAATGAATATTTTTTAAAATGCGGTGCGGTGATTCATGTAAGGGTGGCGCTGCCAATAAAGCACCTAAAAGCTGTCACAAAGAACTGGCAAAAGTAATGATTATGAATACAACAAATATAGTAAGGAGACATTTTAATTGTTTATTAATAAACAAGTGTTTTCAGTCAGTGTCAGCCAAAGATGAAGTTGACGACGCTGACTCACGATCTTCAGTGAACGCGCGCCAGAGAGAAATGCACATTTCATACGATTACATAAGTCTGTCTGTGTTTCGTTTTGAATTGTTCTGTTTAAAAGTAGACATTTCAATATAGATATATTTCAATTCTCAAGTCTATACGCTGAGTTTCGGTTCATGAGACGAGCTCCAGTTCGCCCGCAGGCGCCTCCGTGTCGAGATTATCTATCGTCTACTATATTTACTTATTAAATCCAGGCAATTGGTTGATGAAACATGGATTAAAATTAAGATACAATTAATACAAAACGAAATTCACTTTGAAATGAAAGGTTTTGTGTTTTCTGTTTGATGTCTATGTGAAAGTTTCAAAGCATATTTTAGTGCCGCTTTCAGAGCGCTCACGTCCGTAGTGCTGAACTGTCGCGTCTGTAACATTGTTTTTTCCTCATAAATGCGAACACGAAAAATAAAATAAAATAAAATGAATATTTTATGTAGCCTGTGGAGACTGAGAGCCAACCCTTCTTCATCCGGTGGGTAGTAGCCTACTTGTGATTTGCGCAGTGTAATTCACAGAATTGATTTCTCTGCTACCAGCCTCTGTCACGTATTGTGTGAGCTTGTGACTATTGCAAGCGCGCAGCTGAGAAGTCCTGATTATATTGTCTGCTATATTTACTTCTTATTTATTAAATCCAGGCAATTGGTTGATGAAACATTGATTAAAATGCGTGGCGCGAGCGACAAATCTCCGACAGTAAACTGATTCTGCTTTGTCTAGGGTAAACAGCTGTTGCGACGTCCGGTGTAGACACAGTGTTAAAGCTCATTCTGCCTGATAACGCTACATTAC